GTTCAATGTTTTTTAAATCTGAATTTCATGTGATGGATCAGAAAACAATGGTCTAAGTTGGTGAAGTGAATTGAGAAAAATATATACATAAAACTATTTTTCAGAAATAAAAAACTGAAAATTGGCATGTGCATATGTATTCACCCCCTTTGTTATGAAGCCCATAAAAAGCTCTGGTGCAACCAATTACCTTCAGAAGTCACATAATTCGTGAAATGATGTCCACTTGTATGCAATCTAAGTGTCACATGATCAGGCCTGATCAACACCTAAGCAAGAGGCACCACTTACCAAACACTGCCATGAAGACCAAGGAACTCTCCAAACAAGTAAGGGACAGTGTTGAGAAGTGCAAGTGAGGGTTAGGTTATACAAAAATATCCAAATCTTTGATGATCCCCAGGAGTACCATCAAATCTATCATAACCAAATGGAAAGAACATGGCACAACAACAAACCTACCAAGAGACGGCCGCCCACCAAAACTCATAGACCGGACAAGGAGGGTATGAGGCAGCACAGAGACCTAAGGTAACCCTGGGGGAGCTTCAGTGTTCCACAGCAGAGATTGGAGTATCTGTACATAGGACGACAATAAGTCGTACGCTCCATAGAGTTGGGCTTTATGGCAGAGTGGCCAAAAGAAAGCCATTACCTTCAGCAAAAAACAAAATGGCACGTTTTGAGTTTGCGAAAAGGCATGTGGGAGACTCCCAAAATGTATGGAGGAAGGTGCTCTGGTCTGATGAGACTAAAATTGAACTTTTCGGCCATCAAGGAAAACGCTATGTCTGGTGCAAACCCAACGCATCACATCACCCAAAGAACACCATCCCCACAGTTAAACATGGTGGTGGCAGCATCATGCTGTGGGGATGTTTTTCAGCAGCCGGGACTGAGAAACTGGTCAGAGTTGAGGGAAAGATGGATGGTGCTAAATACAGGGATATTCATGAGCAAAACCTGTACCACTCTGTGCGTGATTTGAGGCTAGGACGGAGGTGCACCTTCCAGCAGGACAATGACCCCAAACACACTGCTAAAGCAACACTTCAGTGGTTTAAGGGGAAAAATGTAAATGTGTTGGAATGGCCTAGTCAAAGCCCAGACCTCAATCCAATAGAAAATCTGTGGTCAGACTTAAAGATTGCTGTTCACAAGCGCATACCATCCAACTTGAAGGAGCTGGAGCAGTTTTGCAAGGAGGAATGGGCAAACATACCAGTGGTAAGATGTGGCAAGCTCATAGAGACTTATCCAAAGCGACTTGGAGCTGCGATTGCCGCAAAAGGTGGCTCTACAAAGTATTGACTTTAGGGGGGTGAATAGTTATGCACATTGACCTTTTCTGTTATTTTGTCCTATTTGTTGTTTGCTTCACAACAAAAAAAGACAACATCTTCAAAGTTGTGGGCATGTTCTGTAAATTAACTGATGCAAATCCTCAAACAATCCATGTTAATTCCAGGTTGTGAGGCAACAAAACACACAAAATGCCAAGGGGGGTGAATACTTTTACAAGGCACTGTAAGACTAAGTCTAAACATCTTAGACTGTCAGTCAAGCTGCATAGGGAGTCAGTTTGCTGGGAGAAGTATGCTAACTTGAGCACTGTCCTCTCCTCCTTCCTACTTTATCTGTTTTGTATTATTAGGATTTTGTCTTTAGTTTGTTCATTGCTATTCACCCGTTATCCCATTGTCTGTTTCATGGTACGACGACGGGACCTCTGAACCTGGCCTCCTCCATCTACACCTGCGGACTGCCCTGCCCGACCCGCCTAGGAGTTCTTCAGTCCTGCACCGGACCTGTCCACGTTCAGCGGCCACTGGTCCACGTTCTGTAGCTTAGGTCCTGGATCATTAGCCCGTCCGTCCGTCCGTGTGGAGCGGATCCCTTTCTCAATCTTTGGGTCTCCCCGAGGTTTATCACTTTTTCCCCACTGGGCAGGAGGGTCTGTTGGACGTGGTGATGATCCAGGACACTTTAACATTCTACAACATGTATGGAATTTTTTTTGTATCATGTGTTCTATATTATTTTTGTGTCATAACTGTTGATTTTCTGATCTGTGTTGGTGATTTCAATGGTTTTGTTAAGTCCTCTAAGATGACTTCTGTTGTGATTTAGGGCTATACAAGATATACAATAAATTTTATTGTATTGTAACCATGGACGTGCAGACAGAACCATGGACGCGCAGACAGAACCATGGACTTGTGGACGAAACCATGGACGTGCAGACAGAATTATAATGGAGTTATAGAAGTTATATCATTTTAATGAACATTTAATGCATTGTCTTTAGACTAACTGTGTTGTCAAAGTTCACTGTGACTGCAAAGGTGAATGCATGTTAACAGGTTAATGGGTTACTTGCTAACCGTTGTCTTACATGTTTGCATTGTTAATGGATGTCCATGTGTCACAAGTTTGGGTTGTGAAGTGACTTTTGGGTTGTCAGCGTGAGATTAGACAGGAAACCTTTTTAGACTAAAATGTTTGAACTGTGTCAACAAACTAATGGTTTGGGCCATATGAAATCTTTGGAGTGACAATAATGTGGCCGTGATGTAGATCATGTTTTTGTCTAAATAAATAGGCCTGTGACCTAAGGAGTTCAGTGCACGAACGGTCACAGCACCCAAGATCAGCAATGTGCCGTGACCATGCATGCGCTCCTTGTGTTGCAAGTATAAACTTTACCTTGTCTGACTTGTATGGTTTTGTCCAGGTACTGTAGTTTTGAACTAGCTTTCACACAGAGCCATGGACTTGTGGACAGAACCATGGACTTGTGGACAGAACCATGGACTTGTGGACAGAACCATGGACTTGTGGACAGAACCATGGACTTGTGGACAGAACCATGGACTTGTGGACAGAACCATGGACTTCTGGACAGAACCATGGACTCGTGGACAGAACCATCTCCCGTGTTTTAAACAATTTTTTTAAAAGCTTAATTAACAAATAAAACTTAAATAAAAAAACACTGCCATAATAGGTCATTTCACCAGCAGTTGTCAGTGTGTAGAATGGGACAAAATGCATATAAAAATGAAATATGGTGAACCCACCAAAGGTTACATTGTGGTGCCACCTGCCTGTGAAAGTCTGATCCCGTCAAAACTTAGAAGCCAAGGCAGAGTCTGGTTAGTGTCCTGATCAGTGGGGTCGGGTCCCGGCTAGAAAAGTGGCCAAAATTACATGCGCTGACATGCTTGCAATACCACCCCAGGCCGATGGGGGTGGACCCGGATTAAAGAAATTAGTAGTAAGTAAGTAAGTAATCTTTATTTATATACCGCCTTTTCACTGCAGATCTGAGTCTCAAAGCGGTTTACAATTGTTAATTTTTGGGCATTTGTCTCTCACTCCACACAGAGATGGGAGCAGGGCCAGTACACAAGGCGCATGCCAGAACTATTGGACATATTTTTAGTGGTAGGGGAAACCGGAGTAACCGGAGGAAACCTACGCAGACACGGGGAGAACATGCAAACTCCACTCAGAAAGGCCCTGGTCCGACCGGGATTCGAACCCAGGACCTTCTTGCTGAGAGGCGAGAGTGCTATCCACTCAGCCACCGTGCCGCCAATGCTAACATATAGCATCTTCTTTCTACTCGAAAACGTCTTTACAGACTGGTCCAAAAGTCGGCTCTTTGCCCCATAGCTCCGTTCCACATGTGTGTCAATGCTGAGGGGAGTGAATTTTGGACCAGTCTAGTTTTGTCGCTGTGAATTTTTGAAGGCACTCGTTGAATGAATGGAGCTCGTGCCAACTGACGCATGCGCAGATGTGTTTTTTCACATTTACCAGCCCCCGCTGCCATTTTGAAACTGCACATAGACCGCGGAAGTAGTGGCACATTGGTTAGAACGGCGGAGATAGGCGTGACTACGTCCGTTAATATTTACAGTCTATGGTTCTGATGGGAGACTTCTAATGACCACAGTGAGGCAGCTTGTGGAATCCTTAGGCAAGACACCTCACCCACATTGTGTAGTATGAGTCTGGTGCGTGTGTATGAATGGGTGTCGGTGAGAGAGTTTGATGGCACACACTGGTTGCCTATCCTGTCAGTGTGCCCCAGGGCAGCTGTGACTATAGTAGTAGCTAACCATTAATGTTTACGGAACGAATGACATGAGAAATACCTTTCAGTGTCATTAAAAGCAATATTTCATATTTTATATACGTATATATGAAATATATATTCATATTTTTTTACTAATTTTGGACACTAGGAACCTTTTGTTTATAGAACTATGTTTGGGGAAAAGTTATCTGGACACACCCCTTTGTTTTGTGGTATTCATTTTCCTCATGAGCCATTAAGTGCTTCGCTCACTCCGCACATGGAAGATGCAGTAAAGTTGGAAAAGTAAAGTTGCAGAAAAGCAATGCCTTGGAAGTTTTTGTGTTTTATTCCATTTTGGAGGAAAGTGGCCAATGAGGGATGTCTAGGTCTTCTTTGTTGTGTATTATATGTGTAAATCATTAAGAGTTAATGTACATTTTTAATGTTCAGTCATGACAGCATGTTCGTCAATGTTGGCATTTCTCCTCTGGAGGAATAAAGGTCTGTTTAAAACTTAAGAAAAATGTTGAGCCTTAATAAACTCGGAGGGAGTAACAGCTGTTGCTAGTAACTGTACCTAATCTAAGCTATCTCTCACGCTTCAATTAAATTCTTTTTCCCAGACGCCCTCAAATGGGGACCTGTAGCTATCTGCCACTTTAGTCCTGAGAAAGTAGCTCTCCGGGTTGCAGACTCCTGCTCTACGTTATCCTGGTGTCTTTATTTTTGACCAATCAGGTTACTTCTGCCCCTGAATTTGACTTTAGTGAGCAAGCAGCATGAGTGGGAACAGACCAGTACCGGCTCTGATTGACTCTGAGCCTGTTCTAGTCAGTTTGAATCAGAATCTTCAGACCAACACTGTGGTTTATGTCACCCCTCTAGTCCAATACTTCTACGGTCATGTTCTTACCTCATACACTTGGTAGTAGTCGTAATATGTATACCAGGGCCTGTTTCTGGGGGGCCTCCTGATTACGTAATGATCCAAGGGGAAGGCGTGGAACGTCTGCCTGCCCAGCTCATCCCGGGTGTCCGCAGGCTGCACCTTCATTCTCTCCATGCAACTGCCCAAAGCCATATCCTCGATCTGTGAGAAGTGCTTGCAGTCCCCAGTCTCGAAGCCTTTCACAAACCTCCTGACGGCCTCTCTGCTGAGCACGTAACCCGCCCCGCCGCTCATGTAGCCCTGTTTGACGAAAGGAGCGAACCGTCGACCCAAATACCACGGCTCTTCGGTGTCAAACTTTGCCACTCTCAAGCGGAGATTCTCCACCACAACAAAGGTATCATCGTCGGCTTTGAGGAACCAGTCTGCCTCCTCCAGATGTTTTTGGTGGATGTACTGGAAGGCCCGGATGGTCTTCCAGTAGAGGTTCTGGCGGCCCTCGCTGACGTTCAGGGCAACGGTGGGGAAGGCCGACGGGAAGGAGCTCATGTAGAGGGTGATGTCGCAGCGTTTTGCCCATGTCTCCCGGATGTGGATGGTCCGCGATTCCAGGTTCTTGGGTCCAGTCATAATCCAGCATAAGATGCGGGGCAGGGTGGAGTTGACCGCCTTGTCACCTGAGGAAATACACAAACAAGACTAAAACAAAATATACTATAACCACACCAGGACCACATTACACCGCTTTTTAACTCGCTGCAGTGGCTCCCCGTGTCTCAAGATCAACTTTTACGGGTTTTTAAATGTTTTAATGGTCTTGGGCCTTCTTTCCTTTCAGAACTGCTTTCATCCCATGAACCTTCCCTGCCCCTGCCCTCCTCCAGGACCAAAACTTCTAATCATTCCCTAAGTCAGGACACACACTCACGGTCGAGTCTTCTTTCCAGCACTACGGCCCGGAACAGCAGCCGGAGGAGGCCCGCAGAGAACATTCATATTTTTAAAAGCAGGCTCAAGACACACCTTTTTAGATTTGCTTTTTATTCATTTTTATTATTATTTATTAAAACATTTTACAGATTCTATTTATATTTGGTCCTTTTACTAATACAAAAAAAAACAATACATTAAAAAAATCTAACTTTTTAAGTATCCCCAGTATTTCTTATGGAGGAGCCCTCTGCATTGGGAGCAGTGGTTGGCTGTGTCCGAGAGGGTCTGGCTCCCGGACCTGGTAGAGGTCTGGGGCCCCCTGTCCCCTCTGGGTCATGTGGAGGTCCGGGGCCTCCTCTCCTCTGGGTCCTGTGTCGTCCCCTGTGGCTGCAGGCTGGTTACTCTGACACCTTGCCTTATATTTTTTCTTGGTTACATCTATTTTACTCATGTGATGCAATTTTGTGTACATGTGTTTGTGTGTATAATAAATGTGGTTTGGGGTGGGTCTGTTGGGTGGTTTGGTGGAGGGGTCATGGGCATATAACAAGACTGCCGCGCCGGTCACGTGACCGGGTGGCAGTACAGCATAGAAAGCTACCTGGATGCTAGAGAGTTAGCTATTTTTAGACGTTTGGAGAGAGGTTATACTAAATCAAATTGTCCGTTCTTGTGTGGTCGGTTGTACGGCCCGCTTGGGACAGATTACGTTTTTTTTCTAATTCTTTCGGAAAAGAACAGCAAAAAACGTCCGCGGTAAAGTGGTTGTCCTTTTATGCTGTTACCTACGGTAAACGTGGAACGGGAAGCCGGGGGGATGAGGGGATGAAAAATTCATTAACAAATTTAAGTTTTGCAACTACTAATTTTAAACATTGCATTTTGCGTGCTCATCCCCACGGCTTCCTGTTCCACCTTTACCGTAAGTAACAGCAAAAAAGGGCAATCCCAATTTTGATGTGCAGTGTTGTGGCGAGTTTCATATATTAGAATATATTGTACTAAAATTCACTGATACATTTGCAGACAAAGGCCGCTTGTCCTGCACAAAGAGGCCTTCACTTTCACATGACCTTCGCAGAGGCGACGGTACCATGTACCACTCCTTTGCTCGTTATAATGTTAAACGTTTGACAGGTGTACTATCATTCTTTTCCCCTCCCTTCTTTTACCTCGTCTTCCTGCATAACTCAACCCACCTTACCCCCACTGTGGCATGTCTTGTTCTTTGTTCTAACTTTTTGCAGGACTATATTACCAAATGTTAGATGTGAGCAGACCAGAGAGAGACGACGCAGGCTTTGAGTGTGCGTCGCTTCTGTCTGACTCTGCAGAGTTTTATTGTATGTATTTATTCTCATCACCTTTTAAATAAATTGCACAAAGACAAGCTGTTTCCTCTCGGATCCATTCATTGAAGTATTTAAATTTCCACTACAGCAGCTGACTTTATCGCGGTGAAAAACGTCTTCTTGCGTGAAGGTTCTGTGAAGGTGTTTTCTATGAAGTAAGAATGAACATCTCTGAGTCCCAGTACCAGCAGAACGGTGCCAAGACAGAGGTGAGTCTGACCAATGTTTTCTCTCGTCATCCCAGGTCTCATATGGGCTTTGAATTTGTTCAGTTCGGTCTCATATACTTACTTTTAGCTTGTCTTTATTTCTCCTCTGATTGTCTTGCGTTAAAGTGCTTATATACAATGCTATTTGCCCACTGAGTCTTTTAAAAGTACTCATCCATGCTTCAGTATGTGCCACTCGAGGGGCGCATGCGCTCGCGGGTGTAAACAAAGATCCTCCTATGACAAGGCTATAACACCATAGAATATAACAAATAGTGCTTAGTTGGAAGTCAGGCAGTGAAAACTATGAGAAAGAAACAATGTTTGAAAGATATGTTAAAAATGAAAATACTTTGAGTCAAATTTTCCGGACATCAACACTAGTTTTGGAAGTGTATGGATCTTCATAACTTTTGACTTTTTCTTTCTCTATAAGAAGTTTATTGTTATCATTAATTCCATAGTCACGGTACGGCGGAGTGTGGGTGCTTTTCCATTGTGAGACCACGTCATTTACGCTGATGGTTCACTTTTTGTCATATGCCTAAACATTTATTTTGCCCTTTTGTTTTGACCAAAAGTAAAACCTTTTTGTATTTAGCAAATATGTCTCCATTCTTGTTCATAAATTTACCACGGTTATATGGGTTTACTGACAAACATAATGTATGTGATGTAAATAGAAGTAAAACCATTTTGAACCCTTTTTCTGCATGTGTACAGACAAATTAATGAAACGAAGTCTTGATACAATCACAGATTTATTAAAAACAAAAGAAGAGTGCAAAACCAACAATTTACTAAGTCCAAAGTACGTATGTCTCTTGAGACCAGGTGAGGAGACGAGTGATCATTCAATGCTTGTTGGTAATCTTCTCACTTTTAGTAAGGGGTTCTCAAACAAATAATTAATTATACACACGACAACTTAAGTATAAGCACAAAACAGAAACACGTGAAAGAGCAAAATACAGCACTAGCACAGGAAGTACGTTTTAGCTTAACTTGCTAAGTGTAAACTTTTACACTAGTAAATACATTTCAGTGAGAGCTTTGGGCCAACGGGATACGTAGCTAACCAGTTATTTCCAGGATTACCACAGACTAGTCAAAAAATCAAGAGCTGGGCAATCTCCCTAAAAACCTTCTCGTTCCGTATTGTGCCGTCGAGCTGCCTTTGAATTCTTTCTTCGGCCTAAAGAGAGGAACGTGTGGACCGACCGACCAGGACGCTGACTTTTGGGGCTTTCTGTGCGATTCCACTACTCTTGAGTGAGGAGGACGTGTGATAGCCTATTATAGATCCATGGTTATAGCAGAGCAGCCGGTTTTAAAGATTGCGGGGTTGAGTTGTTTTTACCATAGGTTCGAACGTCTCTTCTAGTGACAACACTCGTTGACCAATCAGTGTAAGGCTGACCTCACGTTATGGTGTAGCTTCTGCACGCTTAGAAGCACTGTCAAGGTGGTTAAAAAAAAGTACCCTGATCCCAAACCCAACCCTAGTGGAAATGCAAAATAACCGCGCTGTACCGTGCTGTACCGTGCCGTACCGTATGGAAAAGCGGCACTAGAGAATTAGGTACAAGAGTCAGCACAAGTTACCATAGCAAAACAGTTTACTGTCAGAGGTTTGCATTTAGTTGTATTTCAAATTAAATTAACCAGTTTTAGCATTTATTCAAAAGTGAGTAAATTACTTACTTTTGATAAATAAAATGGGGGGATTTGCTCAGAACTCTATTGGTTTGAATGGGAACAGTAAAAATGACGGCTCTGGGAGAATTCTGGGAGTCCTAGTGTTAAATGAGCACTGATGGGAATAACAGCAATACTTGTTAATTGTGCGACTTGAGTAACGTGCAGTTCTTCATCTGCTAAGGACAGCAACAGGTTTGGCTAACATACAAATAACACATTTTAAGATAATGCACTTAGGGTAATGTTTCAATGACAATAGGAATGATAAGAAAGAGAGGTGAAGGGTAAGAAGGTTGATTTTAGAAATTGGATGCACCCAAGAGTCGACTGCAGCAAAACACAGAGGAGTATATGGAGGAGGCACCCATTTTGTTTTACTTTTTAAAACTCATTGGACTGATTTCCATTACATATCTTACATATTACATATCTATGCTCAAACTATTATCTGGACTTAAACATGAAACTGGTCTGAACTGAAGTGGTCTGCGCAGTTTATGTTTAAGGTAAGACCCATAATAACACACTTTGAAATGTGCTTTTTCATACTTTTGCGATTTGTATGAGCAAACAATGCAGGCATCAAACATACAGTATTCTGCTGTAGCCAAACAAATTGTGAATAAGCCGCTCTATAGGTTGTGTTCATCTGATTGGGCTGAAGTCAGTGCCTCACCAATCACCAACCTCACCGCGCGTCACTGTGGGTGTGTCCACATTCACAGTTGCGGGTGTTTAGTGCTTACAGCACAGAGAGAGATGGAGAGTGAGGAGGACTCCAGCAGCAAAACAGCCTTTTCCAGATGGAAATATCGGCACCATTTCAAACTCACTGAGGTTAAAAAGGTAATGTGCACATTATGTTCCAGAACGAAACAAAAGTGTAACACAATAGTTACTTTTACTGGTAACTGGTTACTTTAATAGTGGAGTAACTCAGTTAGTAACTCAGTTACTTTTTGGGAGAAGTAACTAGTAACTATAACTAATTACTTTTTCAAAGTAACGTGCCCAACACTGTAAATGAGACACCGGAATAATTAGGGTTTCTTCTATGAAGCCTTTTAATGACTGAGCGAGGTGTTGTCTGGTCTCAGTAGCTCTTGCAAAAGTGTGTCTGCTGTTGTTGTGTCCTTGGCATCACTTAACCTCTGGGAACACCAGCCACAGTGGGGCGGCTGCGGCTGTAAAGTGCCAAACTGTCGTTATGTCCAAATAGGACTGGTTGCCTTGCTTCTGTCAGTGTGCCCGAGGGCAGCTGTGGCTACAGTAGTATTTTATCACCACTGTGTATGGAGTGAATGAATAATGACATGTAAAGCGTCTCTGAGTGTCCAAAAAAAGCGCTGTATAAACCCGATGCATTATTTTTATTGACATGGCACAACAGCAAACCTGCCAAGAGACGGCCGGCCACCAAAACTCACGGACCGGGCAAGGAGGGCATTAATCAGAGAGGCAGCACAGAGACCTAAGGTAACC